CGCACCTGATTTGCGCCAGAAAACGAATTAGGCCGGCGTGATTTTGGATAGTCGACTCGAGATAACGCATCACGCAGACCGTCTCCCAGCAGATTGAATGCCAGCACTGTGAACATGATCATCAGGCCCGGCGGTACCGCCATGAACGGCTGCTGGTAGACATATTTTTGTGCCACAGACAGCATTGTTCCCCAACTGGCGTGAGGTGGTTGTACTCCGAGGCCAATAAAGGACAGCCCCGCTTCAGCCAGCAGAACAAACGAGAAAGCCAGTGTTAACTGTACTGTTAGCGGGCCTGTAACATTCGGTAGCATGTGTCGAAACACAACCCGTGCGGACGTCGCCCCAGACACTCGGGCCGCGTCCACATACGCAGACTCGCGGACCTCAAGCGCTGCACCTCGCATAAGCCGGAAGAATGCGGTCGAATTGGCAACACCCAGGGCAATCATAGCGTTGGTCAGGTTTGGCCCCAGTATCGCTATGATCGCTATCGCTGCCAACAATGTTGGTAAGGCGACAATCGCTTCTACTACCCGCATCGCAATACGATCGTACCACCCCCCAAAATAGCCACTGAACAGCCCTAACGGTGCTCCGAGTAACACCGCAATGCCAACACCGAGAGCGGCTGCTTCGAGTGCAACCTGGCTTGCTGCAACAACTCGACTGAAAGTACTTCGACCGAGATGGTCAGTGCCCATCCAAAATTCAGCTGACGGGCCCTCAAGGGTTCTGGACAAATTAATATCGTTTGGACCATGTGCAATCAGATTTGAGCCGGTAAGGGCAACCAGGAGCAGGACCAGCAAGTAAACAGCTGCAACTAAGGCCAACGTATTACTCGTGAAGGCGCGAATGAATCGCTGCATTCCGGTCAACGGCGCATGACTGGCGTCTATAGATTTCACGACAATCGAACTCTCGGATTGACAAAACCATATGCAATATCGACGAGCACATTGACTGAAACTATGATCAACGTTCCCATCACCACAACACCCTGCATCATTGGCATGTTTTGTGTTCGTACCGCATCTATAGCGAGCGAGCCGAATCCGTGCAATCCAAATACCTGCTCAACAATCAGTGCGCCTCCCAGCAAGCCATTGACCTGGAATCCTATTGTCGTGATAACCGGTACAGACGCATTTTTAAGTGCGTGTTTGAATATCACGTTGCGCTGGATCAGCCCTTTAGCTCGTGCCGTCCGGATGTAGTCCTGTTGCAATGCGTCAATAACAGCCCCTCGGGTCTGACGAGCAAGCGCAGCGCTTGAGGAAGTCCCTAATGCTATCGAAGCAATTGCAATACTTAGCAACCACCCGCTGATACTGTCAGCTGGCGATACGAACCCGGTCGCAGGCACCACTTTCCACCAGAGGCCCAACGGAATAACCAATAACATTGCAACCCAGAAATTCGGCAGCGACTGGCCCAGTGTTGCAACCAGGACGGCCACACGGTCGACATAGCTACCACGATGCAACCCCGCGTATACCCCGGCAGGAATACCGATCAGGATCGCAATAAACATGCCTCCGAAGGTCAACGACAAAGTCACGGGCAACGTATCTAGCATTGCGTCGCTTACTTTCTGGCTGTTGTATGCGGACGTACCAAGGTCGCCCTGCAACGCCCGCCAGAGCCAACGACCATATTGTACCGGCAAGGGATCATTTAACCCGAGCTTTTCGCCCAGTGCTTCGAACTGTTCTGCTGTTGCGTCAGTGCCCAGAATTCGATCGCGAACGTCGCCTGGCACGAGATGCAACATACTGAAGGTCAGCGCAGAAACAATGAGCAAAAGTGGAACAAGTCCGAGCAGGCGGGAAACCAGAAGTACAATCACGGGACTTCATCCAGTAAGGTGCGTAATCGAACATCTCTGAGCATTGGATCGATATAGCGGGACACAGAAACATCAGCAACCCGGGTAGAATCATACGCCACAATATCTTTGAGGTGCACGTAAACCAGTGAATAAACCTCAGTTACGACGATTCGGAAATACTCTTCAAACAGCTCGTCCCTTAGTTTTAGATCCAGGGTCTGGCGCGCACGACGGGCAAGCTCGTCAAGTCTCGTCGTTTCGAGGCCAAAAGGGTTGTATGCAGCATCGCTCCCCCAAATCGCCAGGTGACGACTGTCCGGATCGTAGTTGGGGTAGGTAATGGTATTGATCGGAAATTCGCGACTACGTGAAACTGCTCCAATCGTACCGGGCTCAATAATCTTGATCTCCATATCGACACCCACCTGACTCAGGTAATGCTGAATGACCTCGTACTCCGCAGACGAAGTCGGCGGCACCGGAACAGTAAAATGAAGATCGGCCACGCCTGCCTCGGCAAGCAGGGCGCGCGCTTTTTCTGGATCGTAATAAAAGAAGCTATCCAGTTCGTCGACCCGTCCCAGGCTTGCCATCGGTTGGATATGCGGCTCAGCAAAACCGAAAAAAACTACTCTGGCCAATGCCTCGCGGTCTACTGCATACCCCAGTGCACGGCGCACACGTACATCGGCGAACTCGGGAACCAGTTCCCCGGCGCGGTCGATGAACGTCATTCCCATCCACCGGCTCGTACGCGTCTCAACCCCAAAGCCGACACGCTGAGCGTACTCTGCTTCTGAGGGTCCCAGGACTGTAAAATCGATCTGGCTAGACATGAGCGCGTTCAGGCGGGCTCTAGCATCCTTGAGCACACGGATTTCGTAGTTGCCGCGGCCATGCGGATGGCCTTGATAGTAATCAGGATTCAACTTGAAACGATGCACATCACCAATCGTCGAGCGTTCAATATCATAGACCCAAGGGCCCGTGCCAACAGGATTGATGTCAAGATGAGGGTTGTCGAAAGCTGCTGGGCTTACCATCATTCCCGGCGACAAACCGAGATTATAGGTAAGGGTTGGATCAGGATAATGCAGCAGAATTCGCATCTTGTAGTCATCAATCACCTCGACCGCACGGATTGAAGCCACAGTGGCGACCCGTGGCCCCTTGGCGGCAAGCATACGATCAAGATTGGCCTTCGCCGCCTGCGCATTAAATCGCTCACCGTCGATGAAACTAACATCTTTTCGAAGATTGAATTCAACTGTTAGATCATCAACCCAGATCCATTCGTAAGCCAGCCCGGGGAGAGCTTTACCGACATTTTCAGGGTCGATTCGAGTCAGACCATCGTAGACCAGCGTGATGTAAGTCGAAAATGCAGGCCCCGTATCAGCATAGTGCGGATCAAAAGTCTGCAGCGTTTGAAATGTGCCATACCGGATTGAGTCCGCTGATTGGGGATCAGACGTGCGCTGACAACCTGCAAGCAAGCAGGCTAAAACGAGCGCGACCGTGTAGTTACAAACACGATGAGACTTCGGCGTCGCGCAACAATTTTCAGTCATCAATAGCCGCATAGGTCAGCAATTGGAATTCTTCGCGGACTCGAAGTGGTTGATGCCCCCATAGTTGTTGCATAAATATGCCTATCAACTCTTCCTCTGGATCAATCCAGAAAGCAACCCCAGTTGCACCACCCCATCGATATACCCCACGGGATAAGACTGAACCCTCGCTGCCAGGATCATCGAGCACAGCTACCGTCAAACCAAAACGAGTGCCCGGGCCGAGCATGTTAAGCGCTTGGGTTTCACCTATGTTATTAGATCGCATCAGGTCCACCGACTTGCGCGAGAGAATACGCACATCACCGAGTTTTCCATTGCTCAACAGCATCTGGGCAAACCGGTAATAATCCAGCGCGCTCGACACCAGATTCCCCGCGCCACTGAACATGACTTCCCGATCCAGGTTCCCCTTTGCGACAAATCGGCTCTCTATAGTCGATGGATCAGCTACCTCCAACCCACCATTGGCTGTACGCCGATACCCCGTCGGCAATCGATCCAGCTTAGTCTGAGGCACATAAAAGTGAGTATCGGACATTCCTAAGGGTACAAAGATGTTTTCTGCAGCGAAATCGCCAAAGGACTTACCAGAGACCACCTCAATAAGCGCAGCTACCACATTAAGGCCAGCAACCGGACTGTATTGCCAGTATTCTCCAGGATGAAAGCCCAGGGGCGTCTGCACATATCGGCGCACTATGTCGGTAATCGTATCTCCGGCCTGTCTCCCCTGCGGATAATCTTTCGCGCTCACCAGTTTGTATGGCCCGGCAGATCCCATGCCGGAAGTGTGGGTCAGGAAATGGTGCGGCGTAGGTGCTCTGTTTGGTTTAACAAGTTGTCTCCCTTCTCCTAACTGGTCCGGGTTGCGTGGCACCGCTACTTCGAGCGCCGCAAATTCAGGAATGTAACGCGCCACTGGAGCATCAAACAACAATTGGGCTCGCTCATTCAGGATCAGGGCTGCAACGCCAGTCACGGGCTTGGTCTGTGACGCAAGCCGGAACAACGCGTCTTTACGCATCGGAGTCTTCGATTCGACATCCATATATCCATGAGCTTCATGGTGAACAATCTCTCCGCGCCTGGCGATGAGAGTCACTGCGCCAGCGATCTCGCCACGTTCGATGTAGGCGTTTATAGCAGGCCCTATCAGTGCAAGCCGCTCGGTAGATACGCCAACGGCTGCCGGGTCCGTCGTAACCTCAGCAAATACACAAGGTGTAACGATTAGAACCCATGCGACAAAGTAAAACTTCACAAACCCGTTCATTTCAGTCTTCCCCATTCATAACCAGCAGGAGTATCTAAACATTTATTGCGAACAAGGCAATAAACCATTTTTTATATTTCAGGATTACTATTTTTACTGGCTTTGATACGACAACAAGCGCAGAAAATACCAACGGTCGGTACTATGCAGTCAAACCGCTTGTTATTCAATGAGAAGAAAAGACTGACGGACCGAAGACTGAAACGAGGCTTGTGCGTTGTCTTAGATTTATATATACGGATATACTATCTCGCCTTGCAATCTAGCTTAATTCCAGTCAAAAAATTTCTCGCGACTGGGAATACAGGGGATCCCAACAATGCACCGATTTATAGTTACGCTTGTGATGCTGGGCTTCAGCTGCGCGACCCATGCAGCCGAGTGGCGCGCCGATGCCCATGCTCGCACAGGCTTGCCCGTAAAAGTTGTCCGCGACATCCCTGCCCTGGACAACCCTGAATTGATCTCGCGTGTCCAACAACTTGCGCAAGCCATTGAGCACACACCCACTAACGCTACAAATGTCACCGCAAGAATGGATATATTGCGTGACTATCACAACGCGCTTCAGAATAGCGGGTATTTGCTCAACTATCGGATAGCCGCTGAACTCAACCAGGCGGAGGCTATGGCCATCGCCGGTTCGCTCAAAAGCAACAGTCATCTGATTAGGATTCTTGACCAGCGATTTCGGGAGCTTAGCAAGGCACAACAGCTGCGCAACGCGACGGGTCGAGTAATCCTTAAATCTCCCAGGCAACCGGTGCTGGTGGCAAAAACCTACACCACCGTCCGATTCAACTATGTAGTGGAAACTCCACTGGAAGCAGGTGCTCGGATTCGCCTTGGCCAGAACTGGTACTCGGATCTTGGTCGAATCCAGTTCACTCGACCGCTCGATGCCAACTTCGCAACGGTAACCAGCAATCGTGATGACGTAGAGTTTGTGACTTCTTCTCGAATCTGGTTCGGCGGTTCCTTCACGGGTTTGTCCGGCGGAAATCGACCAATGATTGCGGTCAAACAAGGCCGTTTGGAACGCGGCGATGTTATTACCTTAACGATTGGCGAAACTCGCGATGGCAGCCCAGGCTGGCTCATACAAAGCTTCACCAGTGATGCCATGGACCTACGCATTGAATCGGATTTCAATGGTGATGGAATATTTGTCCCGGTTGCCCAACCTCGTTTTCGAGTGATCGGCAAAGATGCGAGCCAGATCCGCGTCGTTGCGCCCAGTGTTGTGCGCCCGGGCGAGCCAATGACGGTTCGCGCAAGCGTCGAAGATGCTTACTTCAATCGCGCTTCACGTGATCTCCCTGGACGCACAGAGCTGTGGTACGAAGGCGAGCGTATTGCTACAACCCAATCAGAACGAGGCGATCCAGCAACTTTCATCTTCAAAGATATATCGGTACCCATCAACGAAGAAAAAGCTGCCTGGCTTGAAGTCAGGAGCGCGGATAATCGGTTAGCTGGCATCAGCAATCCTATCGTCGCACGCCGCAACAGCCCGCGTCTGTACTGGGGCGAACTGCATGGTCACGAAGGCTACACAGACGCAAACGGCACTCCCGAGTGGTATATGAACTATGCAAAAGATGTGGCATTCCTTGATTTTGCCTCACTGACTGGACACGACATCATGTTATCTGAAGTGCATTTCAGACATAACTATCTCGTTACTGACGAGTACAACCTGCCTGATGATGGGTTCGTCACTTTTAGAGCTTATGAGTGGACCAACAACTGGCGTTACGGTGGTCACCACAACGTTTTCCTGCTGGATGACAAGCAACAAGCGATCACTGTAATGCAAGCGCCACAAATTCGCGACATGGTTCGGTTACACCGTGAGTACAACGGCAGCGATAAGGTACTGATTATTCCGCATGCACATCAACCGGGAGATTGGGACGTTGCCGGCGCTGACCTTGTGGAGATCTTCTCCCAGCATGGCTCGTTCGAATGGTTCGGTCGTGAATATCTACAGAAAGGGCATCGCGTAGGCATCAATGCAGCCTCCGACGACCACTTGGGCCACCCAGGCAACGCGCCATCCCGAGGACGCACAAGGGGTGGGTTGGGAGCTGTATTTGCCGACCAGCTGACGCGCAAAGACGTCTTCAGTAATCTCAAAGCGCGACATACTTATGGCACCTCATTCGCCCGCATATATTTAGAAACCCAGGTAGCAGGCGCCTCCATGGGAGACACTGTCAACACTACAGGGGAGACCCTGGTCAGTGGCTTTACCGCGGGTACAAACGAACTGGCTGACATTACCTTGATCGTTAATGGTGAAGAGACTCAGCAACACCGTTTCGATGAGGCTATGGACAACAGTAACCGTCTGCGATTTCGTCTTACACTTGATTCATCACCGGGCGAAAACCCTAACGCGCCAAGAACACCGCGCCGGGACATGCGTTACTGGGGTCGACTGTTTGTGCACAAAATCGGAGAAGAAATTGGCACCAGCCGTGGCAGCAAGGCGAGCACACAAATCAGCAGCGTCCAGCCCCTTGGCATTGAACCCTATGCAGATCGCATAGAGCAGGCTGGAAATCACGAGGCTACTTTCACCTTCCGACTTCGCGGCGATCATGATGGAGCCCTCATAGACCTCGCCAATCTGAACGACAGCGATGTAATAACCCTCCGCGTTCTATCTTCTCCGTTGTATGAGACAGAACATTGGAACATACAGGAGCTGCCGCGACTGCCAGGCGAATATTTCAACATTGACGTTCCAGACCAGGAAATTTTGCTCGAGGAAACCATGACGATTGCCTCTCTGCGACAGAAGGTATGGACACGCGAATTTGATGAACGTGCTTCAGCCGACCTGACTCTTGTTGGGCCAAAGTTACCTAAACAACAGGCATTCGAGTTCAAACTCACTGAAGACGACGGTCTGCGGCCGGGCGAAGACAACTATGTCTACGTTCGCGTCCGGCAGCTGGACGATGAGACCGCCTGGTCATCACCGACATTTATCCAATGGAATCCATAAAGACTTAAGCATGCGATGGCGTTTAAGCTTCGCGCTCACAGCGGCGACACTGTGGACAACAGCATCCTTGGCACACGTTTCGAGTCTCGAGCGACACGTCCACGAGCCTGGCAGTTTTTATACCGCGATTTCTTTCGGCAATGATCGAATTGACCTTCTTTATACAGCGCCGACAACGGCACTGAATTCAGGTCCACACATCTCAGTGCAGGCTGCTTCTACACTCGTCGCGAATCGCTTTTCCCTGCGCAACAACGGTTTACCTTGTACCGGGCGTGTTGTCGACAGCGTCGATTACGATGCTATTGACGCATGGCAATTTGAAATGTCCTTCAACTGCACCGGGCAGATCGAAGATGTGGACATTGACTACGCGCCACTTGTCGATGAAGCATGGCACACAAATCATGTCGAGTTACAAATCGGTACACAGGTTTCGTTTGATCAGTTCGATCGGAAACAGACATCCATTATGGTGCCGGTAGGCCAGATTCTGTGGCTGCACAACTGGACGTTACCCGATAAACCCGCAGAACTTTCCGGCAAAGCGCCCAGCATAAGCGACTACTTTTTCTTGGGCTTCGACCATGTTCTGACAGGGTGGGATCATCTTGCCTTCCTGCTGGGCCTGCTCGTCGTGGTATCCCGCCTGAGATCATTGTTATTGCTGATTACCTCATTCACGATTGCCCATTCGATTACGCTCGCTATCTCAGCATTAGATATCTTCACCCTCAATGTCAGGCTGATCGAAGTCTCCATAGCGCTGACCATTGTCTACATTGGAGTGGAAAATCTTATCCAGCTGTGGCGTAAGGCAGAACCGTCAATACTAAGACGCTGGTTAACAACGCTTATCTTCGGCTTAATTCATGGCTTCGGATTCTCATTCCTGTTACGCGAAATCGGATTGCCAGATGAGGAGTTTCTACCTGCTCTACTATTGTTCAACATCGGTGTAGAAGCAGCGCAGATTACAGTCGTAGCCGTCCCATTTGTGATCGCCAAACATTTCCTGCATCGCCTGCCGCAGTGGCAATGGATCGCCTGTGTTCTCTCTTTCGGTGTGCTGCTCGCAGGAAGCTGGTGGCTCATCGAACGATTACTGCCTTGAAGCCCGTTGAGCGATAGCCGATTACTCCGCGGCTAAAACCTTCACTGGACTGGACCAGGCCATGCCACCGTTGCGTTGCAGTACTCGGATATAAAAAGTGTCATCCTTTTCCACCTGTCCCAGATCAAACGAAAAACGTCGGTCTCGTGCTCTTGACGGTTCTACCCAGCGCACCTGAAAAGTATCCATATGGGGGCCGGATGGGGCTTCTATCAGCTTGCCGTTTGCATGCAGGTTATGCAGCGGTACTTTCGCAACCAACCTGCCGTCACGGCCAGACTTTGCAGAAACATCAATAGCAGCCTCCTGACTGATCTCCGACAACTGCAGCTCGATACTTTTAGGCGCGCCGCGCGTGCGGATAAAAAACTCCACCCGATTTGGCTTCTGTTGGCTCATCCTTGCGTATTCGGTGTACAGATTCTCTGTGTTAGGCGTCGCGAGTCCTTCCACTTTTGCACCCACTACATCGATATGTCCCCGCCAGACTCGCCATTTGCGCGAATGTTTGTTGCGCACCTTTGGGTCCGACTCGGAGTCGAATCGAATATCCAGTGTCCCCGTCGGTCGAGAAGATCCGCCCTGGTACTCAATACTGTTAATGGTTTCTCCGTTGCGAACGAGGTCTATCTGCCAGATTGCTCCGGTGCCTATCACGCGGCCTTCAATGTCGATCTTCTGCGATGCAGAAATCGTCTCCCCCATACCCCGGTCATTCGCGGTCATCTGAAGAATTATTTTCTGTCCGTTGGTCGCGTATGTTCGACGTTCACGCAGGGCATCAAAAATGGGATCACGGAACAGCGACGGGCTGAGTACCGCAGCCATCCCACCAAAGTTGTCGCTGCCAGAACGTTCACTACTCAAAGACCTGATACCCGGGTGGCCAAGGTGATCGTCCGACCCGCCTATGAACCCGACATGCGTACCTTGCTCCAAAAATCGTTGTCCGAGCCATTCAAACGTGCCGTGATTCGATACAATCTCTACTTGACGTTCAAGACCGGGATCTGTACTCCACCAACGACCGGGATTATGTGCGTGAGGAATAACAAGCACATCGTCGATATCATTCTCAGCCCGGAGCATGGACAACATTAGCGATTGTTCAGGCGCGCGCTGTCGTTCAACCCGCCTGCGGCCTTCCGGGGTGCGGAACAGGACATTGTGGTGACCACCAAGCGTAGGCTGGACAGTAAACTCGTAGCCAAGAAACGTTACAAACCGACCCGGGTCGTTCGCCGCAATCGCCTGCTTGCGCAAAACTTCGAACTCATAATCATCCATCCAGAGATCATGTTCTGACAACGACATGAAATCGAGTCGCGCGTCCTCACGCGCGAAACGAAAAAAGTTATCAACAGTACCTGCACCCTCAGCAAAACCTGTGTGTCCGTGAGTCTCCCCCCAGTAGATCCGTTGTTCGGGCGCCTCCTCGACCAGAATCGGATTGAACTCACCTTTCAAACTACCGTCGCTTGTTTCCACTCGGAGGTAATGCACTCCGGGCTTGTCAAAGGTTAACTCAAACTCGTGAAAGGCCCGCGGGGTATCAAAACTGCGTACAACACGATCCCCATCTAAAACCTTAAGCGGTTTCAGCCCGCGGGTCGCTCGATTGCGGAAACGATCTTCGAGCCGCACGGTCAGAACAGCTGGCTCATTCACCTTCACTATTGACGGCGCAAATCCTCTTGTCCCTGTAGCAGTCAGCCCCTCGGAATGAAAAGGCAACTCTGCCAGCGAGAAAAGTTCATGCTTGCTGCTGAACGATACGAAAACCCTCACCCGCAAAGCCGAACTTGATTGCGATGGCAACTTCAAACCACGACCGCCGGAACGTGTGTCTCCAGCGATTATGGTGACGACGTCGCCGGGCTCAAGTATTCCTGAAGCGACGCGGAAGTACGGACGAAACTCACGGCCACCCAGGGACCCCGAGAACATCCCCGCCATCTCCACCTGGTCGACTTCGAATTCAACCTCATCATTCGATGATTCAATCGTGACATAGCCATCCCCGGAAGGATCTTCTGTTTGTATGGCAAGTGCACCTGCGTAACTACGCGTGGCGACAGCAAAACCACCACCCGGACCTATTGGCATTGAACCAATAGTGTAAGTCTGCTTAATCGGAGCATAGGCGTCTGCAGAATAGGGCCCGAGAAAATCTGTCTGCAGGACTTGCACCGCATCAGGGTACGCGTCACGGAAAGAAAACTCCCTCGCGTACAGATCCATGTATGGCGCAAACTGGTCTACACCCCGCTGAGGCAACCCCTGTTGGACCAGACGTGCAACCACTTGTGGCAGATCTGGATAAATGGGACGACCTGATAATGCATAAGCATTTAACCAGCGCCAGAAAACATGCACCCGCGCAGCAGCTTCCTCCGGCGTGGAGGTAGGATTGGCAGCAATATCACTTCTCAGCGCATCAACTTCGCGCCTGAGCGTTTGCGTCATGTAAGCAGGAACGCGAGGCTCCAGCCGTAGATAGTCCTCGCTTCTATCGACGGCAGCATAACCGACACCGGAAAACAACAAACCCGTTAGAATAGGGAGAAGACAAATAATATTCATATGTATTCAATCAATCAGCAGGAAAAATTCGAAGGCCTGCAATTCGTATCCAGCACTAGCTCCCACGCTGCCGTGAGGAGGGCCATATGTCAATAATTTTATGTTTGAGGATAATATTTCGTGAAGCCAGTTGGTCACTATACCCTTTGCACCTGTAATCGTAGTTACTCTCAACGTTGACACAATCCCGCTAGCGCCAAATAATCAATGACCTCCTACCTGCAATGCGGATTTTCCATGGCACCCTCTGCTGTAAAGGGCATCAAGGCACCTAAGCGAAAAGATGAGGTGCTCCGAGCAGCTTCAGCGGTTATGCGTAAAACGGGGGTGCTCTCAACGCGGCTGCAGGATGTTGCCGACCACCTCGGCGTTGCCTATACCGCGCTATACCACTATTTTCCGAGTCGCGATCACCTCGCCGAAGAAGTGCTTATCTGGAATGTCGAGAAGCGCCGTATGTTGCTTGCGGAAGCTACAGGGCAAACTGCACTTGAGCGACTGTTGAATTTCATTAACCGTGATCTGACAGTTGATCGGGAAAGCCGTGTGCGAATGCCCATCATCATTCCACTCCCAGAAGAGAATCGGCGCGGCGTCATTGAGGCGCGTCAACGTCTGCTCAAAGAAATGGTGGCACTCATTGATGCGGGCATTACCGAAGGTTCGATCCGCCCTTGCCATGCTCTGACCATCGCTAATCTGCTGATGACAACGCTCGAGTTTTTCATCAAATTCGACAGCAATATATCACCAACGCTTAAAAACGCCCGCATCAAAACCCTCTCAGATGCAATCACCGTTATGTATGACGAAGGCATTCTGACAAATCGCCAGCATCTCCCAAAAATTTCATGGCAGATTTCGAATGGTGCGGATTTACTGGGTGTTGATCCCGAGCTGGACCCGGAACTTGAGCGGGTGGAGCAGATATACCGAGTAGCAACCCGTCATTTCAATCGAGAAGGCTTCCTGGCCTCAATACCTCGCATGGCAGCCGATCTTGGAGTTTCCAAAACTGTCATCTATCAGTACGCGATCGACAAACACGATTTGATGTTTGCATGTTACGAACGTGGAGCAAGCGTGGTTGAGCGCAGCCACCGACTGGCCAGAGACTTCGCAGAAAATCCTCTGGACGAGATATTGATTCACCGTTTGAATCTATATCATTTCCACGACAGCAATGCCGGTCCATTTACATTGCTCAACGCTGTTAATCACCTTAAGCCTCAGCACAAACGTCTAATCCAGATGCGTAATAGAGGCGTACGGGAAACTTCCGTACGACGCGTAAAAGCAGCAGTCAACGCGGGATATATTCGTCAAAGTATCCGTCCCGAGTTTGTTCAACCTGTAATTGGCCAGGCGCTATATGGTCTGCCAAGTTGGTTCGACGCAGACTACCCACTTTCTATCGGAGAAGTCGCCACCCAGTCGCTTATGCTGCACTATCAGGGACTTAGAACACTGGAGACCTGAAATATTTATCGCGCCCACTTAAAACAGTTTGTACGATGTAGATACTTTATTCGTTTGAATCCTCTAATATAAAATAAATGGAAGGAAAGCAATGCGAGCTGCTGGCCAACAGTGGTGTAAACACATACTGCGAAAAAATGTATCAATCCTGATTGCACTCATAAGTCTGTTGTCGTTCGGCTGCGCCTCAACTCAACCCGGACCCGGTGTCGGCGAGCAGCTTACGCAAGCGCGCGCAGCGGATGGAAACTTAATATCCTGGCGCGAGCACATCATCGATGACCCATTAACTGCTGGCGTTAACTTTTCAGGCAGTGACGGACTCGAAATGGCAGATCTGGATCGTGACGGATACGAAGACATTGTCTCCGTGCACGAGTCTGATGTTGTCATCGGCGGTGTTGAATTCGAAGATCAGTACAGTGGCAAGCCGACGGGACATATACGAATCGCCTGGGGTTCAGCCGACCCTTTATCGTGGCTTTCCCAGACAGTGGCAGAGGGGGAAAATGCAGGTGGTGCGGAAGATGTAGCTCTGGCAGACATTAACGGAGACGGCTGGATCGATATTGTCGCCGCCTGCGAACTGGCTCATCTGATTTATCTGGAAAACCCAGGTGACCGCAATAAAGCCTGGAAACTGATCCGCCCCAGCGCAACACGTGATCGAGGCTCATTTATTCGGGTTTTCGCCGCCGACTTCAATCATGATGCTCGCCCGGAGATTGTCGCGGTCAACAAAGGTGCACAGAACCCGATCGGAGAAGAACGCCGAAAACCAAATCCGATCAGTGTGTTCGAAATTGATGGTCGCCCGCTACAGGATGAAAGTTGGAAAGAACATGTACTGACACGAGTCGCCTGGCCGATCAATGCACCGGCCGTTGATCTCGATGCAGATGGCGATCTGGATATCGTTGCGAGTTCTACCGGCGAAGGCAGGCTCATGTGGTTTGAGAACACCGGCAGCGCATCACTTGAATTTATCGAACACCGGATCGACGTGCCGGTAGAAGCCGGTGGCACCCAACCGCGCATCGGTGGCTTTAATCTGGCCTTTGCGGATTTCAATGGCGACGGTCGGCTGGATATCGTAGCCAGCCGTCAACGCGATACGGTGTGGTTGCAACAACCAGCCGACTTCAGTGAACCGTGGCGCGTCCATATTATTGGCAATAATTCCCCCGATAGCGTAACCGGCATGACACTGGGCGACATCGACGCAGACGGAGACCTTGATCTCTTCACCGGCAGCTATAGCCGCGGCCCCAGAGACCGTGATGGTGTTCTGCCGTTGACGAGCCGATTAGGGCGAATCTCCTGGTTCGAAAATCCCGGAACCATAGGTCAAGCCTGGCAGCGTCACGACATATCCCGGCGCATTCGTGGAATGTTCGACGCATTTGTTGCCAAAGACATGGATAAGGATGGCGACCTCGACTTTGTTGGTACGCGCGGTAACAGCTTTCCCTATGACGGAGTATTCTGGCTGGAACAGGAGCGGTCAGTTGAAGCAGTGCAGGTATTTCGCCCTGCTCGAGAAAAAGAAAGCCGTGAGGTTCCGCTACCATGACAATGCTTCAGGCAATCTCGGTCTCAGCAATGAACTCACTGATAGCAGCCAGGATGCGATCCGGCGCTTCACGCACCACAAAGTGTCCTGTGCCTTCGATCGTTATAAGACGCGAATGTGATAGTCGCTGCTCAAGATCCGCAGCGTTTTCCGGCGTTCCATTCTTATCTTCGCTGCCATAAACAAGCAATGTCGGCATCTCCGCACTCCCCCAGTAACCGCCGCTTGGATAAGCGCGCGCGTTCCAACGAGCCAGCCGGGGTGGTTGATAGTGCCACAGCAACTCAGACACCTCGTGAAATACCACCGGCTCCCGATTCGCAAATCCGGCACCGAACCATTGCTTCTCGAAGTAGTGCTCCCATGTCGTTCGATCGTCACGCTTACGCGCCTGCTGCGCCAATGCGGCCGTTTCGGACATATCAACCGGCGGAAACTGACCGCCCGTACCTATGATCACAAGATGAGACACACAGTCTGGAAAGTCTCGCGCAAAAACCTGCGCCACCCGGCCACCCCAGGCGTGGCCGATGACAATCGCCTGCTGCACACCAAGGTGACTGAGCACCCGGGTCGCATCAGAGGCAACGTCACCAAGAGTGAATTCTCCTTCGAATTGCGTTCCGCCAGCATTGCGTTGGTCGAAGCGAATGACTCGGCCAATGGTCGCAAGATTCTCGGCCAGCAGCCCCCAGAACTCCAGCGGCAGAGTTGCGCCATTAAACAGCAGAAAGTCATAAGTGCCACCGCCAATCACGTCATATCTGATGGTCACCGTATCGTTAACTTTGATTTCCATGCGCATCAGCGTGACTCAGAGAATATCGTCTGTCTACCGATTCTGTACCAAAAAGAGGGATAATTTATGTTTGAAGATAAAACGATTGTTATCACCGGTGCCGCAAGTGGTTTGGGCCAGGCCTGGAGCGAGAGATTTTTGCAGGACGGCGCCACAGTCATCTGCGCGGACATTGACGAAGCAGGTTTGCAGGAAATGCAGCAACGTGGTGCGCTCATCTTCTCCACCGATGTGTCGATTGAACGAAACGTCGAGGCACTTGTTAAGTTTGCGATCCAAGAAACCGGCAGGATCGACGTTCTCTTTAACAACGCCGGATTTGGTACCAACCGACCCTTTGCAGAAGTTAAGAAGAACGAGTTCGAGCGGCACATTGCCGTCCACCTTTTCGGTACCGTCTATGGTATGCGCTATGCGCTCCCATACATGCTGGCCGCAGGATACGGACGTATCATTAACACGGTTTCACGAGCAGCAGAGATCTGCGGCCCCAGAAATGCTGCTTATTCGGCCGCGAAAGCAGGTATCTGGTCGACCACGCGCTCGGTTCAGCAAGAGTACAAGGACGTCGACATCCTGATCAACATGCTCATTCCCGGGCCAACCAATACCGCCATCTGGGGACGACCAATGCCTCAAATGCAATCGCCGGAGGTGACATACCCGACTGCAAAGATGCTCGCCACCCTGCCAGCCGATGGGCCACGAGGCGAAGTGTTCTGGAATGAAAAGCCATATCAGCTATTCAACAACATCGAACCCGCTGGGTAACGCAAGGAAAAGCAATGTCTGTGATGCAAAGACTTAACGATCGTCCAGTAATCGTAACTGGAGGCGGTAGCGGTATTGGTAAAGGCACCTGCAGGCGTCTCGCCGAGGAGGGCGCGAAAATTGGTATTCTTGATCGACGCTTTGAACTCGCACAATCTGTGGCGCAGGAAATTCAAGCCAGCGGGGGAGAGGCGATTGCTGTTGCATGCGACGTCACCCGCGAAGACCAGGTCAAATCGGCTGTAAACCAGGTCGCGTCACACTATGGTGGTCTCTACGGCATGGTTGCAAATGCAGGCACATCGGGCGTTGGATGGATTCACGAAACAACCCTGGCAGACTGGCAGTTTGTATTAGACGTCAACCTGAACGGCGCCTTCCTTGCCGCCAAATACGCCATTCCGCACATGATTGCTGGTGGCCGCGGTAGCTATGTGGTCACATCTTCGATTGCAGGATCGGTTATCGGACCCGCCGGCTCCAATGCATCTTATGCAGTTTCGAAGGCCGCTGTGATTCAATTGGCTAAACAAATCGCCGTGGATTATGGCCCGCAGGGAATTCGCGCCAATGCGATACAGCCCTCTGGCGTTGCTGAAAGCAACCTCAGCGCTCATGCCCGCGAGGATCGGGAGGCACAGACAACACCTGCGGCAGTACTTCCGCGTGGCCGGCCTTATCAGCCAATCTCCCGCCAGGGAGACCCATATGCAGACTACGGCGCCACGATTGCGTTCCTGCTGTCCGATGACTCCGGCTTCATTACCGGCACGTCGATTCTCATAGATGGGGGGCTGACTGCGACCTGACACTCGATAAACGTCCTCCATCCGCTGTTCAGGCAAAGTCGAAGCGATCGGACGTGGCTAAGGTTTTCTTATTCCAGTCAGCAGGATTTCAACAACTTGATCGTATCGTTTCCCTCTTCCAGATTGAATTGGCAAAAAACCACACGCGGTGATCATGGGTTGTACCGCAAACGCAGGCAAATCGCGGACATATCCCTCATCGACACAACGGTTGAGTAGATTAACCAGATCCATGCGAAGCCCTTGATACGTTTCATCAATTGCACGCATACGTTCAGCCGAAAGTCGATCAAAAAGAAAAGGCGACAGTAGAGGTCCAGGTTGTTGTGCGAGCAATACGCGCAAGTAGTGAGTATCCAACAACAAGGTACTGACAAGTTAAGCGAACCTCTGGCAACCTAGCAGGATGAAAAACATTTATAAGCGCCATCGATTTCCACCGTCTGTCATTCAACACGCCGTTTGGCTCTACTACCGTTTCAATCTTAGCGTTCGGGATGTCGAAGATTTACTCGCACAGCGCAATATTTCTGTTAGCTATGAAGCAATCCGACTCTGGGTGAACAAGTTCGGTCCAAAATTCGCCCGTCGATTGCGGCGAAAACATCAGGGTTACGGCGACACTTTCTTTTTGGACGAAGTATTCGTCAAGATCCGTGGCAAACAGCATTACCTATGGCGCGCTGTTGATCAAGACGGTGAAGTCGTAGATGTCTATCTACAAGACCGGCGGGATGCCAAGGCAGCGAAACGATTTTTCCAACGGTTCTTGAAATCAGGTGGTATACCCAGAGAGATCGTCACGGACAAACTGAGGAGCTACGGCGTGGCACACCGAACGCTGACTCCTGAGATAAGGCACAACACAGAACAATACGCCAACAATCGAGCAGAGCTTTCACATCAACCAACCAGAGTTCGTGAGCGAGGCACCAGACGATTCAAGTCGATAACACAAGCCCAACGATTTCTGGAAAGTCATGCCGCAGTCTACAACCTGTTCAACCTCCACCGACACTCGCTTTGCAGACTATACTTCAAGCTATTTCGGCTTCGATCATTCGCAACCTGGGATGTGATTACAGCACCCTAAGCAGGATATCGGTCAGCGATTGGCCCACGGGAGATTTTAACTTGTCAGTACCCAGAAACCCGATCACGGCGATATCACGCCACCCGGCTGGGGCGTTGTTATCTTCCCGACAGACCCTGATCAGCGCCTCGAGCTCACCGGCGCGGATCTCCCTCCCCTTGGGCAAACGCTGATACTTGATCGTTTTGATGTCATGGATCGCCATCATGTCTTCACGTTCCATGCGCTTCAGCCGCACACACACTTGAGTGACTTTGCGGATCGCAGAGAGGGTACCGTTGATTGTGGCTGGCGAATCTCCGGCTTTGTCCAGGGCGTTCTTGATCTCCAGCACATGTTCATAACGCATCAGATGCCATGGGATCTTCTCGGCAGGCATGGGTTCCGGCAACATCCGGCCAATCTTGTTGAGCCGACTGATGTAGGTCCGACGGGAATGGTCGGAGTTCAGTTCTTTGCAGAGCGCATCAACTGCATTGGCTTTGCTGGAGACAAACTGCGTGAGATCGATGTGTGGCAGTGTCTGCCAGTTGATGACAGGCACCAGGTCACCGGCGACCGCTTCACCACCGCCCTTTTCTTCCTGTTGTTCAACGTCGGTCGAATCAGACATGGGTACCCTACTCTAGAGGTAGAATTCTAACCTCAACTATTGCTTATGAGAAGGTACATTATCATAACCTATAAAGTGGAGAACAAAAATATGATATGTGCTATATTTTGCCTTATCACGAATATCATATTAGGTGATTATCATGGCACAGCAAGAGAAAACGCCAGAAAAACCAAAAGGCACCAGCGCAAAAACAGGCACATCAAACAAGGTCGGTAAGACGCGAAATCTGGGGCGATCAACCCGGCTCACCGTTAGCGCCGCCAAAATCATACAAGAAATAGAGATGCCTACGTTTGTCTCTGAGCCTGCGATGGTCGGCGCCATGGCGCGCTTGGCGCAGATGGTGGGCCAACGTAAGCAAGTGTTGTCCGAAGAGAATATGGCGCACCTGGTAGAGATGTTGCTTCACGATGCACCCAGACCCGACATCGAATCAGACCTTGAGTTGGATAATGCGCAGCTGCGCGCCGAATATTTGAAAGCGACTAAGCTGTTGTCGAGTGCCCAAGTACGCGAGATGTCAGGCCTAGCACCTAAAAATAGAAGTGAGCCTGCCTCTCGATGGAAGCGAGAACAGAAATTGTTTTCCGTGCCACACAAAGGCATGGAGCTGTTTCCAGCGTTCCAGTTCCGTGACGGTAAACCTCGCCCGTGTATTGAAAAGGTGCTGGCGGCATTGCCTGACGATTTCACGCCGTGGCAAATCGCATTCTGGTTCGCGAGCGGAAACGGCTGGCTAGATGGCGCACCTCCAGTCGATCACTTAGAACAAACAGATGAACTCGTAGCCGCTGCACATCACGCCGCGGAATCAGCGATAGGTTAACGGTTTTGTATGTTCGAAAGCCTGGCGCGTCACTCACTCCGCCAAACACCTATACGTTAAAAGCAGGTACGAGCATCTATCGTGTGCATGACAGTGCCTATGCAGGCAACCAGTTTAATCCGTGCCTGGGGAGCCCAACTAGATTTGCGCCCATCCATGACAGACATGGAAATTGCGTTCCTTCGCTATATGCGGGGAGTACATTGGAAACCGCCATATATGAAACTATCTTCCATGACATACCCGCTAAAGCAAAACTAAAGACGGTACCCCGACAACAAGTGTTGACAAGAAGTCATACCACGTTGGTGGTAGCTTGCGACCTAAGGCTGGCCAGTCTCAGAAAACCTGATCTAAACACATGGCAAGTGACACGAAACGCGTTGATAGCAAGCAATGCCAAACACTATGGTGCAACCGCCGCCTGGGCTGAGGCAATACACCATCAGTTTTCGGATATCGATGGGTTAATTTGGACCTCAAACCAGTGCGATCCAGACAGCGCATTTCTGTTATTCGGAGATCGTGTCGATCAAGGCGACCTGACCGTTGAGGACTGTCGAGTGGGCTCACTCGATCCTTCTCTGCTAACGGATGTCAGAATTGCGGGTAAGCGCTCCGGAATCATCATCACGCTTTGAACCAATCAACTAGGAGTCGTTTGCAGGAGACGACGGAATGACACCCTAAGCATGGCTTGACAGCCTCAATTAGCTAGAATCCGAATCCGCTGTGCCCTAGACAGCAGACGAATGCCGTCTGCGGCTGGTTTTCGTCGGTAACGAGACACAACGGATGGTCGAAACTGGACAAAATCTGTGTTCTTGGTAGCTTGGAGATATGAAACCCAAGACAATCTCAGCGTTCAATGCATCGCAGTGTGAGGAAGACCAGAAAATCTGCGATAGACTCAGGCGAGAAATTGATCGCCACCTTCCTGAAGCCGAGAGCAAAATTTGGCACGGTCATCCGGTTTGGTTTTTGGATGGCAACCCAACTGTCGGCTACAGCAAGCTAAAAGATTGCATCAGACTTATGTTTTGGAGCGTAGCTGATTTTGATGAAGCAGAGCTAAAGCCCGGCACTGGCAAATTCAAGGATGCCTCTGCTCATTACACGAACGTTGATCAGATCAATCTTAAGGATATGAAGAGGTGGCTTGGAAAAGCCGAGACCCTTCAGTGGGACTATAGGGGTATCCAAAAACGCAAAGGCAAACTGCTGAGAATTAGCTAGTACCGCATTTCTCAATGATTGTTGTTGGCACCAAGCGGGCACAGAAATAGCTCAATAAAACCGTCTGCTGCCGAGACTCAATGGACAACTCGGATCGACTACCGAACACTAATGCTTTGCGCAGCCAGATAAAGTGAGCCTTCTCCAAGAACCTATACCAAACAAAACCCCAATCTTGCCCCATTGACCGACTGTTCTTCGAGCTCGATCATCGCCTGCCATCGTGACTTCCCTTGAAATGACGGTTTCGCCCTAATCTTGCCCCATTCGTGCACGCGCACGATAAATCCGACGCCTAGCATGACCATGATATCAAAAAGTGGCGCCGCGATATCATCGTGATATCGCCATGACATCAAACTGAAATTATTTGCATAGCATTTTATTGGTATTCCACTAAAACGTCGTTGACAAGTCTTATGAGGGGTCGATAAGTTGTAACTATTAGCCCGATATGTCTGACAGCATAAAACTAACAATACTTTATAGGGTTACTAGAATCGACAACAATCGATCTGAATTACGTCGATGGGAGGATCATATGAAAGATGCCAACAAAACAGGGCGACTCCAACATCAGGACGCGTATCTTGATGACGTCATCATTGTATGTGAACAGGGCATACCGAAATCGATGAACTGGCCGATTAACGATGGCAAATCTAGCGGCACTTACCAAGTCGACGCACACACTTTCGCCGTTTCCGTACTCTTCGGATTTCTTATGGGTATTGAAGACACCGACTCTTTTATTCTGCATCTTTGGAAAATGACTGGTCTCACCGATGACTGTGAGATCAGCGCGACACTGATTCGTCACAAGTTGCACGATCTCGCCATCGTTTTTGAACATGACGTATTTGATTCCGGCATGCCATCGGACGGGCACGCCGTCATTCCACGGGAATTTCTAAAACAATGGATAACCACGACACTGGACATTAAGCCACTGAACCAGTGAGAACCTTTCCATTTCAGGCGACATCGGCGTAGGGATTCTTCTGCGCGACGCAATAAGGTCAGTAGACCCTCGAGATCAATTAGTTTTTGCGATTGACTGAAGCCACGACAGCGCGTGACGGCGGCGCTCCGGATCTAGTGTTCGAAAAGCAATCAATAGTAATTGCTCATCTTGGAGTTGCGTCGATTCTATCGTCGATGACGAACGATCAAACGCTTTAAGTTGAAAACTGATTTCCGCGTTGACACTGCGCATGTTTTCCGACGCACGTGCCTTAACAGCCGTATGGATTGACGGTGTCAGTCGGAGCAGAAAGTGTATCCTAGTGGTTTGCGTTGTGTTGGCCATCACCGATCACAGTTTTGTCAAGCTACGGTTCGAGTAGGGATTAGTTAACCCGCCTGCTTGCGCTGCCAGTCCAATCAAGGCAATACATAACCCATACACCCATAACAACGAGACAGCCGAGAAACTTAAGTGTGCAATGACAGCACCCAAAACGATGCCTACCCCCATCAGCGCAGCAGAGGTAGATGACGGATCAATCTTTTTCTCCACCCTCAGCCAGAAATGAAGCTGTACCAAAACCACACCGAGAACACCCAGGGCAAGAAGAACGGTTGTCATCGGCAAGAGCGGCGCTGCGTATCTCGACGCAAACCACCCCATGACCAATGTCTGACACCCCTGAAGTATCAGTAGGTGTATCAATACCCGTCGACACAGCCAGCCTCTTAGGTGGAGGCGATCCTCACCGACACCTAACCCCCAAAGCATGTCCAAATGTCGCGCATAGTGGGCGCTCCGGTCGACTGCGACAACAACCACGCCCACGACACAGAAAAGCGTGAACGTGAGATAGACAAGCCAAGTGGTCGGCTGGCTTATGTAATTCATAGCCGCCACCACGAGCGGACTCGCCAGGACAAATATCCCCAACGTCGCGATGCGTACAACCCACCTCTCCCCCAGCACTTGGTTTACCCGGGCAGTTTGCGAAACCGTGTGCCTCATTGTGGTGCCTAGGCCGCGCTGCGACGGCTCAAGTAGTTTATATGACGCGCTGCTTCCCGACGACATCCAGCGATACATCCACACCAGGAGACCTAGATCCGCCAGCGCAACAAGAGGGACTGACACCACGCCATGTGAATCGGAAGCGGGTAGAAACGCCGATACAATGATCAACATCACGATGGGTAACGCGGCCGCCTGTCCCGCGGCCAGCAGAAACCCGGCTAAACCCGCGCCAAACATCAACCCAACTTCCGCCGCACCAAAATGAGGTTGGTTAAAGACGACACAGGTCGCGATGGCCGTGAGGGTGACTATCACGAACACCACCAGCTGGCTCATCGTCCTGGCAAAGTTCGGTAGAAAGTTCACCGCAGGATAGCGTTTAAAAGCCGACAACGACGCCCCAAGTGACACGCCTACAAACAACACGGCCAAAACGCTGCCGAATATCGGCAGTTGCGTTTCTGCAGCAATGAAGATCAGAGGCGCAAGCGTCACGCTCACCCAGTGATGCATGCGTACGGGTTTTAGAGCTGATAAATACATCATCATGTGGTCATTCCTATGAAAGCATCTTCCAAACTTTGTGGCTTAATGTGCACGCGAAGATTGTGGTCTTGAGCGAATGCTTCAATGCGTTGCTGTGACCAGTCTAACGTCCACGCCTGTGCGTGATCTGGGCAGATCCGATACGCAAGTACGTCTGCAATCTGCTTGGGCAATACCGGGCCTTGCAGATAGAGGCATTGCACGGACGCCCGCAATTCATCCAACTCACCGTGATAAAGCAGCTGCGCATCATGCAAAATCGCCAGGTGCGACGCGATACGCTCAACATCAGATACGATGTGGCTAGATAGCAATATCGTTGTACCGCGCTCCACATTAATGTCGATGAGGCCCTTGAGGATATCCCGCCGTGCCACGGGATCCAACGCAGCCATCGGTTCATCTAGAATAAGCAGTTCAGGTCTATGACCGATCGCCAACAGGATACTCAAGAGTTGTTGCTGCCCCTGGGACAAGGCATCAACGCGCATTTTGGGGTCCAAGCACCACGCGTTACGAAAGCGATTCACGAGCGATCTATCCCACGTTTTATAAAAGCCACCAACCAGATCTAAGCACGCTTGAACGTGGAGGTGTTGGAACGCATCGAAGGTCTGCGGGACATACCCGAGGCGTCCTCGCGCTTGTGGCGACGCCATCGCAACGACCTCGCCAAAAATCGACGAGGTGCCTTGCCCGTGCGGCAACAAACCGAGGGCATGTTTGAGTAAGGTTGATTTGCCGCTGCCGTTGCGACCCAACAATCCCGTGACGCTGCCGGCATGCAATGGCAGGTCAATGTTGTCTAGCACCACTTTTTCGCCAAACGCGACGGACACGCCGCGTAAATCCAAGGGATATCTCGTGTTTAGCATAGTTGTCTCCACTTGCTGTATTGCAGGCTGTATTGCGGGCGCGTGTTAAACATCTCGATTATCCCAAGCCGCGATCAACCAAGCCGTGAGTTCCGCCGGTGTCACTTCTAAGCGCTGTGCTTCGGCCACCAACTCCAGAACCGCCGGTGCCAGCAGTTCACGTGGCGTATGTTGGGCGAGTCCAACTGTCATGCGCTTGCCTTTTTGGCCCCGCAATAACCCCATGGATTCCAGCCGTGCATACGCTTTGGAAACGGTCATTGGATTGATGGCCAAGTCTTGGGCGACTTGTCGCACAGAAGGCACCGCGTCGCCCGGTTGCCACACCCCCGTCGTCACAAATTCTTCCACTTGACGAATCAATTGAAGATAGATGGGTACATCGGAACTGGTTTGGATCGAGAACATTAATCTGTATAACGTGTATTAATATGGATAATACAGTTAGATTACGTTCGAAGTCTGAGGGTGTCAAGCTCACTTTCTCGTTCGGCGTGTGAACTGCCCGCGCTGTCTCCGGCATTACTCCTGCCGACTCAAGCTTGAACCGAGCGGTTGGGCCTCATCGTTTGTAACGTTTGACGCCTTTGCTCGCCTGCAAAATCTGGTCGTGACGGGCTGAGTGTTTGATCAGGTGTGTGCCTACCCTTTTAACCCATGAACAATCACTTGCGGCATTCAACAATCGAGTTGTCGTGCATTAGCCGTGGTTTCATTACCCACGATGTGTGACCTACGATGTGTGAATCGCGCCGTCAAAGTGGCAACACGACCGGACCTCGGGGAACCGCTGACGTTGAAGACCGAGGGTAAACAACCCGAACATTACAGCCTCATCCAGAATATGAGATGAACCTGTGCAACCAGACTCCGAGCACTCCGATTGGTGAGCCGTCATCGATCTATAAACCGAACCCGGTATCCTGACTTTTGAGCCGATACGGTTGTAGACGCTGGCGCGTGACCATACTTAAAGAATGTCTAATACGTATTTAGTTTATATGAATAAATATAATTCTGGTTGATCGCAGAGAGGCCGCAGGGATTGTATGCATCTCATCCGGCTCTAGTCGCCGCTCGCGCTACGAGCGGAGCCACGACGTGTCTCCGCCCATTCGGGCGACGATCCGCGCTAAGTTTATCGCACGCACTACGAAGTCCAAACACCATTACCTTCGTTACATCGGGTGTCCATCAAAGCTCTGTGTGGGTCCACCTCGCCTTACTCCCCTCCCTTCGATATCCCAGGTCCACGATGCGAAGAACATGCCCTTCCACAAGGACCGCTGCGCTTTCGTTCCTCACTCGTTCAGACGCCCTCGCGCTGGGCGCTCAGTTGCTTAGCTGCGACTTGCGGCCGAACCCTTGTTGCAGATCATAACCTTCGCTTCTTTGGCCCCGGCGAAGGGACGGAAGCAAGGCTTTTTCGAGGTGAAGTATGACCCACACAGGCATCAAGAAGGGAGGCGCAAGCGCCCAAGATTTCATGAACCGGGGGCGGCCCCGGACGCCGGGCTCAGCTAACAAAAGCAGGGCGATTGAATGAAAGAGTACCTCTTTTCGCAGCACGGAAATTCAGGTTAAGTCGTTAATATTTATAAGAAAAATTGAACCTTTATACTTGAACAATATTATATGTATTTATATAATATAGATGTGATTTGGGCTAGTTCAGATCACAACTTATCAATCCACTAGCGCATACCCAATGAGGTAAAAATCATGACAACTGATCTCAACAAAGTGCAAATCATTGGCCGTCTTGGACAAGACCCGGAAGCCAATCAAACCAACGGCGGGAAGTCAGTCGTGAACTGTTCTTTCGCAACTAACTACACCCACAAGGATGCGGATGGCAACAAGATCGAGCAGACCGATTGGCACCGTGTGGTTTTCTATTCCGGGTTGGCCGACGTGGTCAGCAAGTACATGAAGACGGGGAGTCGTGCGTACGTCGAGGGCCGTCTGAAACACGGCAAGTTTACGGACAAAGACGGCATTGAACGGTACACCACCGAGATTGTCGCGTCTGATCTGCGAATGCTTGACGGCAAGGCCGCTTAGCGGACCAGCAGGGGGTACTCACATCGCGCGAGTCCCTTTTTTCCCCTAGAGGATTTATGTATGCAAGCCATTCTCATCGACCCCGAAATCCTGTGCATTACTGCGTTGTCCATCGACACCGATGATTATGCGCGTATCCGGCAAGTGATCGGCTGCAAATCGCTCAGCGTTGCCGTCAGTCTGCCTACACAAGATACCGTCTTCGTGGACTCCGCTGCACGACTTAAGGGGACGTCGCGCCATTGTTTCCGCCTGGCCGGTTGCCCTCACCCCATCGTCGGCCGCGCCGTTATCGTCGGCTGCGATCGCGTTGGCGATTCCGTTGACGCGCGCACGAACGCCTACGCCCTACTGGAAATGGTGACTTCACCACCGACTCGAGCAACGTACCTATCAAGGCGCGGACTTTGCTGGGCGGTGAATCCCATAACTCGATGCCTCACAAAATAACCACAAGGCCTAAGTTTCCAGCTGATGGTCAGCTGACCTGCTACGGCCACTCCTTGACCACACCAACCACGAGGATCTAGCGCCATGAATAGGACAGACACGATTTACGAGAGCGTTACCCAATCCATTCTTGATGCACTCGAACAAGGCACACCGCCGTGGCAGCGGTCTTGGTCCATCGGTAGCGCCCAGCGCTTGCCGCGAAACTTCAGCACCAACAATTCCTATCGTGGTATCAATGCGCTGATTTTCTGGATGACGGCGCAGAAGCAGGGGTATAGCTCGCAGTACTGGTTGACCTTCAATCAAGCGCGCGACCTCGGCGGCTGCGTGCGCAAAAAAGAGAAAGGGACACGTGGCATTTTCTACCGCCTATTGGAGAGGACCGACAACGCCAGCGGCGAAACCAAAAGTATCCCAATGGCGCGCCAGTTTTCTGCGTTTAACCTCGACCAGATAGACGGCATCGAGGACCCGAGTACGGAGCGCTTGGGTCAAGCGTCTCCGGACGAAAACCCAGAGGCAGAAACCTTCATCGCGCAGACCGGTGCACGGATTGAATTCGGTGCATTTTCGCCTTGCTACCTACCAACGTCAGACACCATCCGCTGCCCTGAACGGGCTCGGTTTAAGAGCGCGGGCGATTACTACGCGACGCTGACGCATGAGCTCACCCACTGGACCGCACACAAAACCCGCTTGGCGCGTGATTTGTCCGGCAAGTTTGGCGATGCGTCTTACGCCGCCGAGGAACTGGTCGCTGAACTGGGTAGCGCTTTTATATGCGCCGATTTAGGCATACAAGGTACGCTGCAAGAACACGCCAGCTACCTCGATCACTGGATTGAGATTTTAAAGGCTGACGAGCGTGCCATTGTCAGCGCCGCCAGCCTCGCCAGTAAGGCCCATCAATACCTCATGGCTACCGTCGACCAGGCGCGTGCGGCATGAATGTGCAACACAGCAAACTGGCGGCGCGGATGGTGCACAGCAGTCGGACCACCATCGCCAAATGTATGCGGCAGCACAATTCCCCGGAGACCTTCACGCAAGACAGTACACCTGCGAGCGTTGAACGCTTCGAGGTCCGCACCTTTCACGAAGCACAGGCCGTTTTAGGCTACTGAACGTAGCCAACGCGCCCGCCTTCATCACCGAGCAGTTTTCAGCCTGGTTGAACACGGAAGCACCACCCACGAACCGGGTTAAACCCGCACCCCTTCTGACGCGTCGGTTCCATTTGCGGCGGGCTTCATCTTGGCAAGCTCCGCTTCACCGGTCTTGACCGCAATCTCCAGCCTTTCGGCACAGATCGCCGAAATGTTGAACGTCAGTGTTTGGTCAACGGCGGCGAGTGACTCGCGTAGCGCCTCAATGCGTTCTTTGAGCTCTTGTGGAATTTTCACCGACACCGAAACCGAATTCTGTCGAGTGCTCTGAAAGATACTTTTTTTGGCTGCCATGCGTATGTACTCCTGTGTGGTCGTTGGTATTTCGGATTAGTATTTTATATGTTTTTATATATCACCACAACCGGATAACCCAGAGGTGTCGCTTTGAGGCGCCCTAAGACAGCGCTGATGCGCCATGAGTGGGTAAAGTGTCTGTGGGCTGCCGCTGAACGTAGTTGTCCCTAGTACGCTATTTGTAGAAGGTTACGGGGCAGGTTGGGCGGGCAAATCACTCTGCTGCTAGCGCAGGTTAACCCCGGCAATTCCAACCTATACCCCCGCGAGCTATGTCTATGGTCTGTCTGACCTCACCTTAGCTCGCGATGCTCACCAAAAAAGTTCACACCCTACGCAGCTTACGCTGCAGTGGGCAAGGCATTGAATTTGATTGCGTTTTTCGCATACCGCTAAAGTGTCGATGCTGGCAGCAATGCCCGTAAGGTGTTGTTTTCCTTACTTGCAAGCGCATACATGTGTTTTATGCTTTATATGTTTTTATATATTTGTAATAATGACGCTCAACGCGAAGGGAGGAGTACCCGAACATGCTTTCTGTGACCGTACGATACCCAGAAGAGTTTGTCGCCTATGTGCGAAGACTCGCGAAACAGCGACGCGTTGAAGAAGCGAGCATTTGGCGAGAATTGGTCGCCACCGGAATCCAGCGCACCGATGCAGATGACGGCCTCACCAAGACCGCATTCAACCTCACCATTCAGACCTTGTGCCTCACCCGCCGGATGGCTGGACACCTCGATGAAGAGCTACTCGAGCTCGCCAAACAGGACGCGAAGCACGCTCTGGAGCAAATTGGAGTGGAGCAAGCATGAGCATTTTCCAAACCTCTTCGATCGGAAATTTTACACGCGGCGGACAAACAGCCATTCACTTCTTACGGATGATCGGCCAGGTCATCACCAAGTTTATGGCCCTGGGCATTCTCACGCTCTTGCTCTCAATCGGCAGCATTTTTTGGTACACAACGACGAGCTACGAGCGGTACGTGACCGTTAAGTACACCGTTGGTTACGTGGTTGTTAACGGGCTAAAACAGACCGATGGAAAGATCCCCTTTAAGCTTGAAACTGGGCGGAAGATCGAGGTTCGAACGGTCACGTTTCTCAACAACGGTAGCGTTCAACAAGCCGTCAGTAACGTATACAAAGCGGCTATCTGGTCATTTGTCGGCGGCGCCATGTTGGGTCTTTTCGTACTGTTTCTGGTGTTCAAGTTCATCTATCGATTTGGTACTGACCAGGCCGAGGATGAGCATGTTCGGGGTAGTCAGCTGGTTGATGGCAAGCAGCTCAAACAGGCCGTTAAGAAGTTCGGCAAGATCCCTGAAATGACCATCGCCGGTATCCCAATGCCGGAGGGTTCGGATATCGCTCACACGATGTTGAGCGGTTCGTCAGGTACCGGTAAAAGTACTGTCTCTAAAGAAATGCTGACGGGCATTCGACGACAAAAACAGCGACTCGTGATCTACGACAACAGCGGCGAATACGTGTCGCATTTCTATCGCCCAGGGAAAGACATCATCCTGAATCCACTCGATGCGCGGTCGGCCGGCTGGGACGTATGGGCCGAATGCTCGCGCGACTATCAATATGATCGTATGGCCGAATCACTCATCCCCGAACGCAGTCAGGTCGGCGATCCGTACTGGGTGTTAGGTGCGCGAATTGTGTTTGCGGCGCTGGCAAAGAAGATTGCCAGCGACCAAGAACCGAGCAACGAAAAGCTCATGCACGCAATCATGAACGTCAGCATCGCGGAAATCACACAGTACGTTGAAAACACCGAAGCGGCGGCAATAATTTCCCACGGTGGCGAACGTATGGCGGTCTCGGTGCGCGGTGTTCTAGCCGCCTACACGCGGTCCATGAAGTACCTGCCTAAAGACGCGCCACGGTTCTCGATTAAGGACTGGATCCGCCAAGACGAGGGCGATGGATGGGTGTTTCTGACGACCAAGGACGAGCAAAGAACGGCGCTAAAACCTCTGATCACGGCGTGGATGGATACGGCAATCGCAGCGATTGCATCGCTTGAGCCTAGCCGTCAGCGTCGTATCTGGATCGGCATCGACGAGCTACCAAGTCTGCAGAAACTGCCTTCTCTTTTTGATGGGTTGGCTGGTCTTAGAAAGTTCGGAGGCTGCTTCATACTCGGTGTTCAAGCCTATTCACAACTGGTGATGATCTACGGCAAAGAAGGTGCGGACACGATCGCAAGCGGCTGCTCTACTTGGTGCGGGTTCCGCTACAACGACAAAGCCGGCGCCACGTACTCGAGTGAAAACCTCGGCAATAGTGAGACGGTCGAAACGTTTGAGGGCATCTCGTTTGGTGCCAGCGAAATTCGCGACGGCGTCACGTTGTCCAAGCAACGAAACCTCAGGCCTATCGTCCTGCCGACCGAGATCATGAACCTCAAGGATCTACACGGGTTCGTGAAATTTGGGCGCGGACTGCCGGTGGGTCGCATCATCGCTCAGTACAAGAAATATCCAAAAGTCGCAGAGGGATTTGTCGACAACGGTTTCGATATCGTCGCACCCAATCTAGACAACGCCCCGGTCCTGGTCAATGGGTTTCCTCGAAGCGCTAAGCACCGCCCAAGGGCCAACGAGAAGGATGATTTTGTTGGCAATGGCCTCAACGGCCGCGCGATACCGTCGGCGGCTACCGATACGACCGGCCAAGAAGATGGCCGTGACGCCGGGCGGGACATGTATCAGACGGAGTTGCTCTAGCTTCTATGGAATCTATCCCGGGTGACGTGAATCAAAAGACTATGACTCGACGAAACAGAGGACAAATTATGCAATCAGACAGCAGCACAACCACCAAATCGGAACGCTATGCGCTAGCCGGCTTACTTCTTATCCTGGGCACGATCTTGATCCAATTCGAGTCCACTGGGCCTCGCTTTATCGCGGTTCTTGCGATCGTTATCGCCGCACTGTTGTTCTCTCGGCCGGGCATGTTGAACAGATTGACGGGAGTCAATCGCGCATCCGAATCGACAACCACCCGGACTGAAGAACGCTAGCCGATGCTGTCAATTAAAGCGATCTCGAGCAGCTCTGTTGCGTCTCACTATTACTCTGAAGCCGACTATTACGCGAAGGATGGAAACGAAGACATCGCGTCTACCTGGCAGGGCAATGGCGCCAAGAGGCTCGGCCTTGATGGTGTCGTGGACAGTACCCAATTCAAGGCAATGCTCGATGGCCAGTTGGATGATGGGACCCAGGTCGGACGGAGCAACGGCAACGGTGAGCGCGAGCACAAAAAGGGCTGGGACTTCACTTTGTCAGCGCCGAAGTCTGTTTCCGTGTTGGCCCTCGCTGGCGGCGATAAACGCCTTATAGCGGCACACAATGAAGCGGTATCGACAGCACTCAAACACCTCGAGGCGAACTACAGTATCACCCGCCAACAGGTGAATGGGGAAATCAAAGAGGTACTGACTAAGAACCTCATTGTCGCGTCTTTTACGCACACCACATCGCGGGCGATGGATCCGCAGCTGCATACACACAACGTCATCATGAATCTGACACAGCGCCCGGACGGCGAATGGCGCTCGTTGGAATCGAGACGTATGTACGACGCTTCGAAGAAGATCGGACAGGTTTATCGGAACGAACTCGCATCGAAAGTTCTAGCGCTTGGCTACGACATTGAAGCCGACGCAAGCAAAGGCACATTCGACATCTCCGCCGTTCCGGAAGCAGTTCGCAAGGGCTTTTCCAAGCGCCGTACGGAGATCCTCGCAGCAGCGAAAGAGTACGGTTACCGGACCGCAAAAGGCATGGATAACGCGGCGGTTCGGACGCGAAGCGCGAAGCATCACAGCAATCAGGAGGCGTTGCTAGGGGCTTGGGCGGACCAACTGAAAAAGCTCGATTACGATCCAGATACTGACATCAAAGCAGCGCGCAATCGACACCAAAACGCCGCCGTCGAGCGGTCAACGAAAGCCCAGCAAGCGGCCGATCTCGAATTCGCACGATCACACCTGGCAGAACGCGAAGCGGTATTTACAGCCGACGATTTGCAGGAGCAAACACTTCGTGCAAGCCTCGGCAGCAGCACCATTGGATCCGTCGAGGATGCCATCGCGAAGGAAGTTGAAATCGGTAAATTGGTGCCCGCCAGCCTGCGCAATGGCCGTGTAGACACACCGGCTTACACAACACCAGCGGCGATTAAGAAAGAACAGTACATCATCAGTTTGATGCAACGCGGCAAGCGCGATGTGAGCCGTATCGCGGAGCGCAGTCAAATCAGCGGGCTCATTGAAGAACGTGGTTTCACCAAGGGTCAGGCAGCAGCCGTACGTTTGCTGTTGTCCTCGAAAGACCGCGTGGTTGGCGTCCAGGGATACGCGGGAACCGGTAAAACCTATATGCTCTCGGCTGTCAGAGAGGTCGCAGAAGGCAAGGGATTCAAAGTCACCGGACTTGCACCAACTGGCTCGGCCGCAAATCTCCTGCAGGAAGAAACCGGCATTCAAAGTCGGACGTTAGCGAGCCATCTATTGTCGCTCAAGAACACGAAGAAGCTCGTGCAAAATTCTAAGGAAATTCTGATTGTCGACGAGTCGTCACTGCAAAATACGCAGGACGCCGCGGACCTGTTAACGCTCAGTCGACAAACGCGCTCACGCGTATTTCTGATCGGCGATCGACAGCAACTGGGCGCGATCGAGGCCGGCAAACCCTTCGATCAATTGATTAAGGCCGGTATGCACTACGCTGAAATGCGCGACATCATGCGGCAAAAGGACAGTCCGGACCTCAAAGCGGCGGTTGAGTCGTCGATTGAGAAAAAACCTCGAGCCGCACTAGAACACATCAGCAAGACGGTCTATGAAATCAAAGACCGTGACAAACGAATTCAATCTATCGTTGATCGTGTTCTGGCTCTGCCGGAGAGTGAGCGACAAAAGACACTTGTCCTCATCCCTGACAATGATACGCGCCGCGAAGTGAATCAAATGGTGCGTAAAGGTCTACAAGCGAAAGGCTTTGTTGAAAAGGAGGAGCTTAAGCTCAAGGGCCTCACCAACCGAGGCTTGTCTCGCGCTGAGAAAGGACGCGCGATATTCTACCGCAAAGGCGACGTCGTCGCGTTCGGCCGTGAGGTCGCCTCAATGAAAATTAAAGCCGACATCCCCTACCGCGTCAAAGAGACGGGAAAAGACGAGTTAACGCTAGAAAGTGAAAACGGCAAACAGATCCTTTGGAACCCAACGCGGGTGGCCGGGCGCGCGAAAAACGGCGTCGAGGTGTACCGACAGGAAGATCGAAGTATTGCGACCGGCGACGAGATTCGGTGGCGCCGAAAAGACAAGGCAATCGGCGTGAATAACACGGATCTGGGTAAGGTCACAAGCGTCGACGAAAAGACGGGGGACGTCACCATCGCCTTTAAGCGTGCCGGCGAGAAAACCATCAACCTACAAAACAATCGACATTGGGAGCATGCCTACGCAACAACGGTGTATTCCGGGCAAGGGGCTACCTACGATGATGGCATTGTCCTTGCGGAAAGTTGGCGCAGAAATCTGATCAATCAGAAATCCATGTATGTCGCGCTGAGCCGGGCGAAATTTAGTAGCCATGTTTATACGGACGACGTCGATGACCTTGCCAAAGGTATTTCACTTCGACCAGGTGAAAAAACGAGTGCGCTGGAAGGCAAGCATGTGAACTACGCACGAATTCTCGATAAGGATGGGCTGCCCAAGGATCTGCGTGGGCGCACCGATCTTGAGAAGCTTAAACCGATTCTCGAGCGAATCATCGACAAGGTACGTAGGGGACCTGAAGTGGAGATGGACATATGAGCTTAACTCGCCGGGACGGCCACAGAAGCTTGCACCACTTCTAGCTTGATTTCCCGTGTGTAGTTCCTTCGTGTCATTTCGCACCTCCAGTTTCATCATCTCACCTTAACTTGGTGAACGTGAAACCTGGGGCACGTCACATTCATCTAAACTGCTCCATGAACTGCGTTGCCTAAGTGGACAAGTTAGAGTGGTCTGCGTAGGACCTAATTCATCAGCATTCAGATTGGTTATAAAAACTCATTCGTCGCTTCGATGGCTGAGCGTTTGAAGGCATTAAACAACGACTCTTGATCTTCAGACTCATTCCCATAGATTTGGTACGAGAGAGATCCATCACCTGCGACCCTGACATGCTTATCGAAATGTAGGCGCAGAAAATATTCACGTTGCTTGCCTTTTTTGTAGATCGTCGAGATCTGAACGACAACGTCTTGGTAGAATTGCTCTCGTTCGGCATCCGTTGCGCCATGTGTAGATGTCCTGCCGGTTTGAATTTTCTTTGGTCATTTTCCATCTCCTTGTTTACGAGGTTGTTTCGAAAGACACGCAACATCGAAGACGGGGGAAAGACGCTATGCACCCGAAGGGGAAACGGGCAACACGGCTCATGAAATGAGGGGGTGCGCGCCGCCCGTTGCTTAGATGGCGACCCCGGCTAGAAAAGTGAAGCTATGAGAAAAAACGCGGATAGGAGTTGAACAATACGTTTGAAGACAGTAAAGAGGTGAAATTGTCGCCAGCACATGAGCCGGTAACGCGCAGAATCGGTCCTAGAGCTTAGCCAAGTTTCAGCCGGACAGCGCCGTTGCGATTTCAGAGTCCTTATGCTCAAAGGCAGTCTCCATCCGCGTGCATTCGGCATTTGAAAGTCGGAGTTTTGAGGCTTCAGAGCGCCACGCGGATACAGCACATGCAACTTCGAAAGCGATCGCGCGCGCATTTTCGTCCTCTAGCTCAAAATACGGTGCTACTTCTAACGCCAGCTCTATCGAAGCCGTCTGGTCCTCAAAATCGATCGCAGATGAAAGGATCCGTGGCTTGACGTCAATCGGTACAGGATTAAGGTCATATGCGGGCGAAAGCACCCACCCATCTGATCCATCATAGAGGAATCCATGGTTTCGCATGTGATCGTCAACATTGGAGATCAGGACGGTAAAGACAATGCGTCGCCAGAGTTCATGCATATCCTCTTCGGGTCTTGCACCCTGCTGGCGGAGTGCATCAATGATCTCCAGGTAGGAACGGGTTTCATTGTCTTTTGCGCCTAGCATGCTGAGCGCTGATAGAAACGGAATCCGCGTTTCACCCGCGCGATCAAACCTGTTCAGAATGAGTACCGGCCGTTCTGCAACCTGTTCCAGACGCCAAACAGGTACAGAAATCCCAGCTTTTTCGGCGAGTGTTAGTGCAAGCGCTTCCCACAACACTGTGTTCCATTCATCTTCTTTGTGCGGGAACTTGGCAATGGCGAGGCTTCCATCCTGATCTTTGATCGATGCTTTGGGGCGCGCGCCACCAAGCGATGATCCTGGGGCGAGCAGGAGACGCAGATCCTCATCATCCTCGTTTTCATCAATGAGCCTCACCGTCGCATCAAGCAGCCGCGGAAGTTCGATCAGTGGCGGTATTTTCGCGGCATCATAGGGTGACAGAAAAGCGCCCTCCGGTTCCAGTTTGAAGCGCACCGCACCCTGACGCGCCTCATCATCAACCGCAAGAAGGTAATCAATCTCGTTGAGAGTTCGTGCAGCCCTGCCTTCACTGTGAGCATGCCTGCGTTCGGCCCGCCGCATGAGCACGCGGCCCCAACGATCCGGAGCTGAATCACCGACAGCGCCAAACAAAGCGCGATCTGCCGCCGTATGAAATGGACCGGGACCAAGCTGCATT